GCCACGCGTTTTCTCACTTTTACCCTTCCGATTCTCTCCCCTATCCCATTGGGGCGGAGTGAGCAAGTGGCTGTGTGGTGCTTGGTTGCCGGCTGAGGTTTAACCACGACAGCAACACAAGTGGTCAAGAGATCATAGTAACGGGAACATCAAAAGAGGCTATTTTACCTTCTTCAGTAATACTTACACTGGTTAGAGCATAGTATCAGATGCTAAAGTAAAGCCTGTACAATGTAGTCTGTACACTGAAGATATTATATTGTTCACCCGTAACTAATCTGTATGGTATTGCCTTATTCATGCTTCCAGCCTTCCTTCTTACTTCAGGTACTAGCCATACATGAAACAGAAAAAAGTTATTGTCCATACAGGTAACCTGGGGGCACGCAGAGACAGCCTGGTGTGAATCGTGGCTACACATGGATTTGTGCAACAGGCAATGCTGCTTCCATCCAAACTTTGATGCCAGCTGTATTTGTGTCAAAAGTTTCAGCAAAGCTTGCTACCGAACATGCAATAGAAAAAATTACCTGTACAAAAGAAACCCAGTCCCTCCCTTTCAAGACACAGCACTGCATGCCTAGAATTTCAAATGCCCACAGTCTTCCTCCTACCTAAACAATTCAGCGAGTGCCTTCCCACATACAAGCATAGCCTGCTATTATTTACCCTAGCTCTAGGATGAAAACAACCGGACTTTTGGCTGCTAACATGTTTCTGGTTTCCTGGTTATCACCATGTTGATAGTTTTGTGATGCGGGAAGCTGGAATGCCATGCAACATTAAGTCAACTCCAATCAAGATACCACACGATAACATCACTTTCTAACTTTTGGCATGCCAGCTGTGTGACTTCATATATTGTTTTGGGTTCTTCTTCTCTTTAACCATCCAAGTCCATCTCCAAATGAATAACCGACAATGTCTCATTGTTTCCTCCTATTTTCTCAGCCCAGACCCACCTGACATCTAGCAAACAATGCTGGTATAAAACAATGGTGAAACTGCACAATACATGTAAAGAAAAATACTTCAAAAGAGGTGTGAAATTATGTCATCATGATAAAATTAGGCTTTTCATAATTAAACAGAAAAGCAGGCTTGAAAAGGCCAGATTCTGTCCAATGTGTAGAGTCACCCTATTTACTTCAAGGGAGTGCTGGACCTCTCGAAGGCCAACAGTGCAGCTCCCACAATAACATTTGTCTTATGAGAAGAACAGCAGCATGACAAGCTCTTTGCCTTCTTTCTGATCAACACGTTTAGCAAAAAGATGAGAAGATGTTGGTCCAAGTCCAGAAAATTACTAAGTGCCCCTAGTAGGTGATGCTGAGTTCTCCAGTAGAAACTGAGGGCACTCAAACATTGAACACTGGGACTCCTTTTTATGAGGCAACCTTCAAACAAAGTGACTGAACAACTGTTTACAGAGAGTTTGGCAGCGGCAAGGGGACTACCATTGCTCAGAAGTGCCAGAGGGATGAGAGAATCAGTAATGATTACTGATGCTGGGAAAGTCCCAGAGAAGTACAAATATAACTGTGCCTTCCCTTTGGTCTTTATCAGGTCAACTCAAGTGTTTCTGAGGATGTAATGCAGCTGTCATTCTGCAAAGATGTGTTGGGGCGGGGGTGTGTGTGTGAGGCAAATGGGACACAAGAACTTGGCTCATTTCTCTTCCTTTCTGCACAGTCATATCTTTCCAAAGACTCCAGAAACTGCATACCTCAGTTTTGGCAGCGATGTAAGGATCTAAAAGTAAGCAATGTGCCAAAAGCAATCTCCTGATGTTAACTATAATTGGTCTTAGATACGTTCTGAAGACTCAGCTGTGCCTTGGTATCCAAAATAAAATGTCTTTATCCCAATCCCATTGCTACCAAAAGACAAAGTCGAGGGCTGGCAGTGTGTACCTGGCATGAAAGGCCTTTGTAAAAGTACAAGAAATCATCACTGCACGTATCCAATGGCACAAAGAACATCCATCCTCACCAATGAACTGAATGACAAGAAAAGTGTTGGCAGGTTTCAGAACTGTAGGACACTGTGTGACAGGATGGACACTGTGGATTAAAAGAGCTAGATATTATCCATACTATGGCATCTCTGATATCTGAAAGCAAGGTTTCTCTCCATGTTGTTTATCCTGCATGTTCAGGAAGAAAATTACAAAGAACGAGCTAAAAAGTCACAAAGTATGGCATAGTTTCCACAATTGACATCATGGGTTAAACAGGCACTAGCAGTTCTTAAGCAAAAGGCTGTTAAGTGTGATGAGTGCCATACTTAATGAAATTAGCATGTCTGCTTCAATCTTCTCCTGGGCTGACTAAGTATCTTTATACTGTTAGGGTGATATATGATCTTAACAACCTGATTGCTTGTAAGCAAGAATGATCTTCTAACCTCACCATTTCCATTTTTTCCTTCTTTTTCTGTTACACGGTTGCAAGTGTGGAAAGCTAATGGATGACAAAATCCTAGGCTGGATCCTTAGAGTCTATTTCCTCCCACAAAATAACCTGATGAAGGACTCTTCACTTATTTTCCTACACTGCATTCTATGTTTCCATCCACGCTGAAACAACTGTACTCTTCATGGTGGTAAACAAAGTGACCTCTTTGTAGGAACCTATCAAAAATTTTTACAGGTACAATATATTCTTCAAATGAGTCCTCCAGAAATTATTACATGAGATAAGCATTTTAGGTTTTCTCTGCCATTTTCCCCCTTTGGTTTGCTTCTTTGTACTTTGCACTACATTTCTGGTCTTACCTGCCCCATCAGCAACACACCTTTTTCTTCCAATACACTCTCAAGCCTAGATTCCCATTGAAAAACTTCTCTTTCAGTATTTCCAATACTTCCTACTAGATCAACTAGTTTAGTTGCAAAAAAGAAGAAAAGCCTTTTCTGTGCCTTGCAGCTTTTGTGCTTGAAAGCTTGTCTACTTCTTCCAACTATACTGATTGGTCTTAGAAGAGATATTACCTTTACCTATAAACATTGCCTTGCCTTGCCTATAAACACTGCCTTACCTTTATGCTTAGCCCATTGCAACCACATCAAACACTGTTATTAGAAATGTTGCTGCACAACTTGGATCTGCAGGAGCTAAATGAAGGCCTAAAAAAAAAGGCTTTGTGCAAAGGAGTTTTCAGTGCACTAAAAATACTAACAGAAGACAAGGGGGGGAAAAAACCCACAGGAGAGAAGGAAGGCTGAGTTAAACTTCCCCTTTAATCCTTTCTCATTTCCTTCTGGCAACTTGTCTGAACACTGCCTCTTAAAGAGGCAGAAAGAGTTTGGTATGTCTGTGGGTCATGACATGGATGGCTAGGGCTTTCAGGGTGGGGGGGAGTATTGTGCATCACCACCTGCATGTAGAGATGACAGATTCAATCACTTGCATTAGTAGGAGACACAGTTTCCACACACACCACCTCACCTCCCTCACTTACAAGCGACACATTTAAACACCTGCATGCACAAGTAGCTGATGATGCACAACTGCATGCATGCAGGTGCGAGCATGCACACCTTCACACATGCGTGAGTGAAAGCTCAAAATCAACAACCTCAAAATTCAGGTTGTGCAAAATCTCTGTAGCTTCTGAACATGAGGATGTTCTTCCAGGTATATCTGTTTATTTGGTCTCACTTTCAACAGAATGATAATGCAACGCTGCCTTTTCTAAAAAAGGATTACGCAGGGAACGTATGCACATGATCGGATTATGTGGGGATGAGCTGAATAGGTAGAAGTGTTACCAAAAGGTTAAATTCAATTTGGTTTTGTCTACCCTCTTTTTGTACGGGATTCCTCCCTTTCACAGGA